CCTGCTACTTTACAGCTGGAATTATCATACCGTTACTGTGAGGCAGTGACTTTGTATCAGAATTGTGTTCATGGCATTCTAGTAATTGTTTAAGAAATATGAGTTTCTGATAAAATTTTCTAACTGTTCAACTTCAATAAATTATATTTTTGATAAAAAGTTCACTTGATGCTTTGGTAGAGTACAAACTATAAACAGATTTATTTCAGTTTGGAGCTTTGACTTAAATAAATCTTAAACCCTGCAATGCACAATTATTAGATTTCTCAGTTTTATCCACCAATTTTTATACAACCCAGAAAATAGTTAAGAGTTTCCCTTTTCGACTAAAAGTTATTCACAAAATTTTCTAAGTTTTTTTCCACTATTTTGCCACCCAGAAAATAGTTAGAGTTTCACTTTTCCACTAAAAGCCACTCATTTTCCACCTTCAAAATAAACTAAGTTTCATTTTTCACCAATTTCCACCCTTTTGCCACCATAAAAAAAGTCTATGTTCAAATTTCCACTCAATGCCACCTAAATGCCACCAAAGGATAGTGGCATTTGGTGGCAATTTTGCCACTACAGTGGAAAAAGAGTGGAATTTTGTCATTTTCCAGTTAATGCCACCTTTTTTACACTTAATGCCACCCTTTTCAGTGGAAATAGCTGGCAAGTAGTGGCAAATCTAGGGACGGGCAGAAGCAAAAATATCTCAAAGCGACGTCATATTTATAGGACTAAGCTAAACACCAGTTGAGCACACATGTAATTTAACATTTCTCTAAGTCTGTGGATTAAAGACGTAAATTGTTCCAATTAATTCACTGACACTTTCATCTGTGTAAACAAACTAATAGCGGTTGACCTTTCACATCTGGGCCGCTTATGTAATTTACACGGCCGCTTATTGACTTTTAATTGTACTAGTTGTCGGATATTTTTATCTTACGTTGTTACATTAAAGTTTGCATTATGAGAATGCATAACAGTTGACAACATTTTGATTTGTTTTGAATGTAGGTAAATGATCGGCCTTTACAAAATGTTCAATGTAAGGTTTTTATAAATCCTTAATTTTTACCGGACCGTCGGGCCGTCAAAACATATATTTTTATCGGACCTTCTGATTTTTTACCGGTCAGGGCCGACAGTCTTTCGGAAAGACTGATTTTTTCAGAATTTTGTTCCCGTTATCGTTGTCAACTATCAGGTATCGTAACGGTTTATTGTTACACGTGTTGACATGCACTAGTGTTTGACATGTATAGTCGGCATTATAACGGGCGTATTCGTGTTATGATTTGTTTATATGGAGAAAACAGACATTTTAGTAATATGGTCTAATAGATTTTGCCTAACTGAAAAAAAGGAATATTAAAACATGATCCATAGATAAATATTCAAGGCACTCATCTGGTATTCCTTATTAGGAAATGTGAAAGTTTCCCATGTATTGAGTGACATAAAGAGAGTACTAGAAAAATTAAAACAAAAATCAAGCGTATCAAGGGGGATAACTTACGCCGAACGTTGCGGCACATGGCGGATGTCACTCCTTTTCTTTTTTCAATATACCGTAAATTTCACTGATTTTTAAATTTGCAGATTATATTAAATTGAGATTAGATAATTAAAGACCACCCGCTCGCATAATATGAAAAGATATTAAAAGGTCGGACAAACAATTTGTAAAGCCGGTACGAATCCGGATTTATGCGCCGCAATATGCGGTCCTGTTCCAGAGTTCCTATGACCAAAAGGTGTTTGGTGAAAACGAAAGTAGAAATTATAAACCAATTATTCCGTTCCTTAATTATTTCAGACCTGAATCTAACCAGTTTCTGACCTCAATTTAACCAATATAATTATAACAATAATGTAACTAAAATTTGTCCATAATCTGACCAAATTCAGACATTCTGAAAAGTGCCACAGACGTGCATAGGTAAATCTGTCCTTATTTTATTAAATCTATATACATGTAGAGGTGTCATCGATACAGCGATATATCGATTGCCAGGCTAAATTTTAGCTTTCAAGTGTTTTTAAATGTTTCCTAAGGACTCTGACAAAGCAGTTATATTTAGACAAATGCAAAAATGATTAACTATGAAAACTGAACAATTTGTTTCTTTTTTTTATCATATAGCTATAAATAAAAACTAAAGATTAGTAACTAGAAAGTTTAAAGCCTTTTCCATTTTACTTTAGTTGTTGCTATTACATAGTTACTGATAATGCTAAATCCCGTCCTTGCCGTTCAAATTAAGCCAGGTTTAATTGGCAAATTATAGTGTTTAGAACCTGATTAATTATTAAAGTTTAATACTGACAAATTTTTCTTGGCATTTTCCCTTTTGAAATCTGAATTGAGGGGTCTTAACATTCACTTAGCACACATGCGAGATTACAACGAAATTAGGCAGCATTCGTTAGAGACACTGGGAGGTAACTTTGGCATTGATTTCCGTTTTCATTTAAAAAAAAATTGTTTCTGGCTTCCATAACTTTATATGTTGCTTTTATTTTGACGTTTTGCAACAGTAAACCAGGGCTCAAGCTAGGTTCAAAATTTAGGGAGAAGTCACTTCTCCCTCCAGCTGATTTAGGGAGAAGTGGGGAGACTTTAGGGAGAAGTGAGGAGATTCATTTATTGATGTTTGTTGTATGTTATCGCCATTATGTTGACTTATGTTGACTCATATCTTATTAAATGAATTGGATTTGTGTTACAAAAGAATATTCAATTTTAATTTAAAACAGAGACATAGATAGCTATTATTATAACTATTATTATCTATGTCTCTGTTTAAAAGTAGTTTGAAACAAGTAATAATTAAGAATGAGTATCATGTAATGCAACCATTGCATTAAATGAAGATAAAAAAAGCCATAGTTGATTCCTATCATGGATCATATCATGGGTGGATTAATAGTTATTCCCTTCTGATTTACTATTAAAAAGATTGCGCCGGACATTATAATTATATTCACTTATGTTGTAAAGAAAATAAAAGTAGATAACGAAAGAAACGATCCTTAATTTCACTTTATTTGTAATAAATACAGTGTAATACGCCGTTAATCTTATCAAATTTAACTCGTCGACAAAAAAGGTTATCATAACTTTCATTTATAATTACCGTTACAGTTATATGTCGAGCGGTTCCGCTTAATTCTGACAATCATTCGATAGTGAAAATTTAATTGACGTTTGATCCGTCATCCTAAATAATTGTTACAGGTAGTTGTATGTTAGCGATTTAATGATTGGTTAAATAATGTCGCCTCGATTAAACTGTGAATTACGATTGGTTTCTCGCACGTATCGGTAATCTCGCCGTGGGCGGAGTCTAATTGTTCCTCGAGCGTCTGTTAATTAGACTTTTATGACATGTTGGTAAACAAACGGATTAAAGACATTTCGCGTTGATTGAGATGCATGACAGTCCCTTTTTCCGGCGGCGAGGGTAAACAAAGCAAACACTAACCACATGTTATTCACAGTTATTGTTGGTAATTTACAATAATGGATCAATAAAATCGGGCGACTTCATCTTCGCTTTCATGTAGGATGTCGGCGAAGTCAGACGGAATTCGGCGACTATTTCGCCCGAATCGCCCACTAGCTCGAGCCCTGAGTAAACAGGTCTATCAGTTCTATAAAAACTGTTCGCTGAAGTCTCTTTAGCTAGAAATATATGTGCATTTGATATCCGATATTTAAAAAATGGAATCGATATGGAATCGGATAACAAAGATCGTTGATACACCGATATCGATTGAATCGATGACACCCCTTGGCCCTATATACATGTATATAATATAAACAAGGCATACAAGTTGTGGCCTCCCATTTCCAGCACGGGTTCGTAAAAAGCATTGACACTTGTAAAATACCATCTATTCCATCAAAAGTTATTGTAGAAGTTAATCATCGATCCTGGTGGGAAATTTTAGGGATAATTAGGGCTCATCAGATGGATGGAAGTCATTTGAGTGTCGGCACTTCTTTGGTAGGGAATACACATGTGTCAACATCAAAGATTGGCAGATTCTTTTGAAGAGCAGGCTAGTCAATTGTCAGAGGTCATCATGTGTGTAAATTTTGCGTATGTTATTTAAGTTGGAAACATTATATCTCATTTATTTATTGATGCTACTTTGTTGGCGAGTGTTTTCGTGTATTTTCGCACAATTGAATATTGACAGTCTGCGATGAATTTTTGTTAAAGTTTAAAATTTTTAAAACAGGGGGCAATTATCTGCCCTTTAGAAATTTAAGAAGACAAATGCTGGGTGTGTTAATTTTTTTCAATCGTACATACATGTATGTATTTTAGTAAATTACCGTGTGTAATAAATTGATTGGTCACCCAAGAGAGCGGAATGTCCCTGCAATATTTCACAGTGATCAACAGTGACGATATTCCGCAGCACAAATTAATAGCACCCGATCGGGTGATAACAGAAAGTCAAAACTGTAGCAGGGACGTTGCCGTGACAATCCAACCTTAAAATAATCGCAGGGATTGACGGACTTTAGTAAATTGTTTAAGCTGTGTACTGTACATTTATTTTATGGAAAGTATATTTATAATTGATATTGTGATATGTTTCTTATTTCTTTTATGGTTTATAAAGTTTCCTTGCTTATAATTCCAAAGAAAAAAAGACACAAAAAATGTCTCGAGATGTCATCTAACATGTTTTCCAAGTTCTACTTGAGACGTAGAAATGGTTGAATTGATTTTGGACGCTCAATATGGCCCAAATAATATCTACTTCTGTACTATATGATGACTATTTCTTACAACGAATCTTAGATGAGCAATCTGGGGCCAATATGGTCCTCTAGTGATAGTAGCAATGCCTTCATTGTATGTCAAAGTTCATGGTCCCTTAACTGGGGCCAGCTTTCAGGGCATACAAGTATTTGTGATCAATCATAGTTAATAATGGTTTTCCTTTGATTCTTACAAATTGTAGCTAAAAATATTTTTTGTTTGTTTTAGAAATCAAGATGGCACATGAGATACATTTAAAGAACAACAAATACCGGCAGTGGGTTAAGGCTGGTCTAGGCTTGGGTTATCTTAAAGAGGGACTTGCGCCATTTTGTGATGACATAGGAAAACAGCAGCACAACGATATTATTAACCAAATACAACAAACAAAGACTCCTCAACCAAACGTACCATGTGGCACCTGTCAGATAACAACTCTCCAGCCAGATCATGTCCGAGTCTCAAAAGGGATATGTCCCCTCAAACAAGATAAATGTAACTGTTGTTTTCCTAATAATAAGAGACCCTGTCCAAACAATGTATGTGGTGCCATCTATGACAGCATTATACAGTATCATGCATCAATACCACCGGCACCTTTTTGGAAAAACAGTGATGTCCAACAGTGGTCAACAGAACCATGGGAGGTTTGCAAATGTTTTATAAATGCTCCTGGGTACAAGGACAAGACATCAGCAGTCGACACTGATTGCACTGGGTTGCTTCATGTTATCATAAATAACAAGTACTTTCATAGTCATATTGGATGCAATGTTACAGGACCAAACAATCTTTTTTCAAAGGTAACTAGATTTGTTTACTATAATTATTATGTTTATTTTAAATTTTGTAGAATAGCAGGCTTTACTGTAAGATTAAAATGTTGTCTGTTAATTGCGTATAAAAGTAAAAGAGATAATTGTTACCTTAGTGTAGTTATTATGCCCCCACTTCATAGAAGAGGGGGTATATTGCTTTGCATTTGTCGGTCCGTCAGTTCGTAGACCAAATGGTTTCCGAGTGATAAGTAAATAACTAAAGAACCCTTAGGCCTAGGAACTTCACACTTGGTATGGTGATTGGTCATGACCAGTAGATGACCTCTGTTGATTTTGAGGTCAAGGGGTCAAAGGTCAAGGTCAATTTGACCTTGTAGGTTAAAACGGTTTCTGATCAAAAACTAAAGAACGCTTAAGCCTAGGAACTTCAAACTTGGTTTGGTGATTGGTCATGACCAGCAGATGACCCCTATTGATTTTGGGATCAAGGGGTCAAAGGTATAGGTCACATTGACCTTGTAGGTAAAAACGGTTTCCGATCAATAACTAAAGAAGCATAGGCCTAGGAACTTCAAAATTGGTATGGTGATTGGTCATGACCAGCAGATGACCCCTATTGATTTTGGGGTCAAGGGGTAAAAGGTCACATTGACCTTGTAGGTAAAAACGGTTTCCGATCAATAACTAAAGAACGCTTAGGCCTAGGAACTTCAAACTTGGTATGGTGATTGGTCATTTTCAGCAAATGACCCCTTTTGATTTTGGGGTCAAAGGTCAAGGTCACATTGACCTTGTAGGTGAAAACGGTTTCCAATTAATAACTTAAGAACACTTAGGCCTAGAAACTTCAAACTTGGTATGATGATTGGTCATGACCAGCAGATGACCCCTATTGATTTTGGGGTCCAAGGTCAAGATCACATTGACTTTGTAGGTAAAAACGGTTTCCGATCAATAACTAAAGAACGCTTAGGCCTAGGAACTTCAAACTTGGTATGGTGATTGGTCATGACCAGTAGGTGACCTCTATTGATTTTGGGATCAAGGGGTCAATGTCATTTTGACCTTGTACTTTATGACGGTTTCTGACCAATAACTCAACAACTCAAGTTGATATTTTTATATTAAACTAAAAATGCTTTTGGTATACACATTTGAAGGTCTTATGTAACAACTTGGCTGTCATTAATGAGGCCTGCATGGTTCACAAAATTTATGCATATATTATTTGTTAAGATTTGTAATAACTTAAATTGCTGCACACAACCTATGGGGTCACAATGATTATTATTACCTTGTTACCTTGTGACTAGTCATGAACAGTAGATACTAGATAACCCTTGTTATTAATTGTTTGTTCACTCTGGGTCAGAAGTCATGCATAATAACCTGATCACATGACTAATTGGCTGCCGATAGGGGGCATACATGTTTTACAAACTTCTTTGTTGGTTATAAACTCTATTATATAACTTTATAGGAGTTTACCCATTACTGCACTAAGGTGACTATGAGGTTAATGCAGTTATTTTGTCAGAGAAACAGTTTGCCACATTATGAATAATGATTCAAAATTGTTATGCATAAATTGTATTCACAAATATTCACTCACACAATCCGACCAATCAGAAACAGAATTACATTTTCTTTCGGCAACAACGTCCATAGCAACACTTCCGGAACAGGAAAGGTCTAAATTAAATCCGAAGATAAGACAAACAACGGAAGGTCAGAAACAGCGCAAAATTGACGAACCGAAAGTCTCAAGATTTAAATTCTCAAAGAAACTTCATGTTCAAAAGACCCGAACACAATATAATATTTTATACTTGGAAAAGTACATAAGAACAAAATCCATCCTTAAATCATTCATACCAAAAGTACCAGTTATCAGCTCAACTTCACAATTACAGTGGGAAGAAGCACACATTGACTTTGATACCCAGAATTATCCTATTTTATCCATGGCGTACTTAGAAGAGAGATTTCTTGCCACTCAACAAATAGAACCACTCATATGGTGCAGATATATTGATGACATTTTTACCATTTGGCCACATCGTTGTGAGGAATTGTATTCCTTCTTGGCCCACTTGAACGATTTTCACTCCTTTATCAAAATTACATATGAAATCGCCAGCCATGAAAGAAGCTCATTTTTTTATGTTAAAGTGACATTATGCTCATATTTTCATAGTCAAGCGGAGCTGAATTGACTTTAGATTTCAAAAGATTGACTGCTAAAATGGTGTTTGACCAATCGTTGATATTGAAAAATGTTCAATATAAAATAAAATAAAATTATAAATTTGCTTAAAATATAAAAAGACTGTCCCACTCTTTTTATAAACTGAGCGTTATAGGTAAATTCTAATAGATATTTATAGAAATTTTATTTAGTTCTGTGCATTTTTTATTGTTAATGGAAAGTAAATGATTAAATTAAAAATGAAAACTTATTACGATATTCACCTGTTCACTCACTATATACTCTTGGATGGGCATAATGTCACTTTAAATAGTTAAAGGATGTACATGGTAACCTCAATACTAGACTGTACATTAAAACTACTGATGCCAACATATATTTACATTAAAAAAGTGCATAACATAGAAATAGTAATACTTATGGTGACACAAAAGAACAATTTATTTGTGTATTTTTATTTATGGAACTTTTCAATAATCAGAAAGCACTGGACTCTGTAAAACTATGATATTTTAACTTATTACACATGGACTTAACAACATTCTGGCACTGAGCCAAATCTTATTCTATTTTTAGATTTTTTGTTACTATTTTGGTCAGTCATGTGACTTACCATCCTACACATTTTTAATACTTCAGGCCCAAACTTCTGTCAAAATTTATCCTGATGAAGACCTCACGGTAGGTCGAAACCGGTAGATAATAAAACAACATAAACATCCCTGGTGTTGACGTGTAATTTTCTTCTTACTTATCCTTTCTTGACAAATATTTTTTGTTTGCAATACATTTTTTGGCTAGCTGTAATTTTTATGGGTGGGAAACAAAAAATATTTTGTATTTTAAGCTTTACTGTAAAATGAACAGAAGTAATTATTTGTGCTTTATAAGCAAATGCGACAAGTTAATACTGTTACTTCAGTAAAGTAATTATAAGATTTATCAAAACACATATTTCCATTCCCTTTGCTTTTATATAATCTGCAGTTTAAACACAATAATAATAATGATTATTATGGTAAGTACTTTAAAGTAACTCCTTTATTACAGTTTTAATTCTCAACTTAAGAATTGTGTTTAGTCTCATTGCTGAACACTGTATTTATGTGAATGTTGTATTATTTGTTTTCTGTATATTAGGTACGGCAGTACCGGAACGAGATTTTTCATTCTAGCAATATGGAATTAGAGGAGAGCAAGGCTAATTGTTATATTGATGACATGATAGCTGTATTACAAGATGGTAAGGAACTTTTATATCGACAAGATGCACAACAAGCTGTCGGGAAACTTCAAGATGTAAGTGTACATAATAAATTATAAGTTTGAAACCTTTAAAGAGTTAAATTACCATAACTTGAAATAAGCACATTTTACTAAATTTTCAGAGTTAAATAGAAAAAAGTGCTCAAAGTGGTTACTTCATTTTAGTCAAATTTAAGTAACAACTGCCTTAAGTTAACTTATATTGATGAAATCAAATGAAATACCTACAAATACAAAAATACGGATCTAAGCTTGTTAGTAACAGGTAAGAAAAACAAATGTGAAGAAAATAGAAAATTCTGGCAATCAAATGCCTATACCAAACATCCTGCCTTAAAAGCAGATTTTAGAAGCCCTCAGAAAAAGTATGGTAGTTAAAATAAAAAACAGTTGTGATAATTTTGAAATAAAGTTTGACCTTATATATGATATGTTGTATAGAAAAGTAAGTATAATACTATCATAAATCATATAGCTACATTTTTATCTCTGAAAGAAAATGGAACATAATTTTTTCATCAGCTTAAGCAAAAAGACTTCTATGTAACTACTGAATGCTCTGAAGAAATTTTGAAACAAATCAAAGATGAAATGACAAAAATGCGAGAATTTACTGAAAATGCTGCAACTAAAGAGGACTATGAGGAGCTCAAAAATAAATTTATTGAACTTGAAAGACAGTTGTCACAAGAAAGAGAGGGACAACTTGAGGCTGGGAAAGAACAGAAAAGAAAGTTTACTGAATTTGAGGCAGTTATAACAGAGCAAAAACAGGTAAAAAATGTTTTCCTTTTGTTTGTTTCAAGTTGATATACCAGTACATGTATTCCAATACAACCACGTCCGTCCGTCTGTGCGTCCCCACTACATTCGTGTTCGGACTGTAACTTTGTCATACATTGAGGGATTTTAAAATAACTTGGCAAAATGTCTACCACATCAAGACGATGTGTTGTGTCTAAGAACCACGTCCCTACCTCAAAGGTCAAGGTCACACTATCATTTTGAAGTTTCACATTATCACAATTAGAGTAAATAGGTACACACATACGTGTCTGGACTTAATAACTTTATGCATTGAAGATCCCGGTTGGTATTGCATTTCGATCCCCTGGGGTGGAGGTCGAGGTCAAGGTCATCGTTACTAAATATAGAAAAATGGTTTCCGGACAATAACTAGAGTTAGGAATGAGATATTGTAATCAAACTTGATGTATAGCAAGCTTATTTGAAGACACCGGTTGTGATTTCAATTAATTAAAATAATACTTTGTACACAGTTGATACTTCTTTTTGTATTGGTTGAGTTCAAATATTTTTTTCAGACCACTTAATTTTCAAAAAGTCAAAGTTGCTGATGGGGGTTTTACTCATCTTCAGTGATGGTTCCAGTTTAGCTTAATCATAGCCTAAGAACATGCCAAGTTTTAAGGAATTCTATTGTACAGTTATAATTTTGCCTATATATGTATAAAAGTCCTAAAACGTCTTTAAAGATAACTTTGATCTGTAACTGAGCTTGACTATCTACAATTCCTTTTAACAACATATTGGCCAAAACAACAAAATAGATTTTGAACAACCTATACAGAAGTGATCCCCTTATAGTCCTCTCTAAAAGTAAAATTAATCATGCCCCTTTGAAATCAATGGCCTATCCTTAGGCTACATGGCTAAAGTGAAACATATTTAGTGTGAAGCATTGCCTAAGTTATGAAAATCATTAACATGGGTCAAATAGAGCCATGCCTTAGTATCATGTTTATAACTTTTTCTTTAAATAGGAAAATGACTTGACTGAGGACCTATAAATTATGCCTCTATAATGTTAAACCTTCTAGAAATGGTCACTTAACAAAACAGTCTCTTAAGAGGCATGATAAAAAAGGAAAATTTTATACGTTTATTACAGTACGCTCACCGCGGGTTTTGCTTTTTCCGTGATACCACCGCGGACTTTTTTTTTATCGCTGACAAAAGCGGGGTTCGTCCGCGATGAAAGCCTAATTTCCCCCGCGATCCCCGGTGTTGAGTTGTTTCCACCGCGGACAAAATTCTGACGACCGTTCTTCATTCGTTGATAGAATCAGTCATCCGTTTCCCGCGGGGGAACGCCATGGTCAGTTGGTCTGTATAAATTAACCTCCAAAAATAATAGACGTTTTATTATTTTTTAACGTCATCTTTTTTACACAATGACTTGGAAATTGACCACAATCGTCTCTTTAAATGTTATTATACGTTAAATTTTTTGAACGGAATTTGAAATAAAAATAATTACAGCTGTACCTGTTTTTGTTGTTGTTTTTAAGGCCATCCTTAATAATATATATGTTTGCTATTGCCGACCTAGAGTTATAAGGAGTGGGTCGGTAGGTAGGCTTTTTTTTTTTTTGATATATAATTTTTACTGAACGTAAGTTAATACGCTTAGTACGTTGTAACAGATTGTGGAAATTTGGGCTACACTATCATCATCGGCAAAACTAACATGAAAAAGACAAAAACAATAAAAAACATGTTCACTAGTAATCATAACATGAAATAAAAAAAATGACTATGTGGACATAAATTCAAGCATGGTCATTAATTACCGATGTGATAAACTAATCCTGCGAAAATATTCCCGTACAAACTGGAAAAATTATAGTGGATCACCAGGACATTTCGTTCTCACGGATGAATGATCATTACTCAATTTATTACACGTCTGTAAAAAATAACACACGCAAGATTTGTCTCCTATAATTTCTGAATGGCGGATCGTTAAAATATTTCATTGTTAGTTACCAAAAATTATCGCAGATTATGAAATTCCATAGCGCTAAAAGACACAAAAACACTCGCGCAAAAAGTAGCATCCATAAATAAAAGGAATATAATGTTTCCATTGTTAAATATAAATACAAAATTTACACACGAAATGACCTCTGACAAATGACTGGTCGGCTCTTCTGAAGAATCTGTGAATCTTTGATGTTTACACACCTGTAGTTGTTGCCGAATCATCAAAGAAATGCCGACACTCAATTGACTTCCACCTCTTTTTTATATATCAGAAAAAAACTGTCATTTCTTTTTGTCAAGGAATGATTACACATGTTTAATTATTGCTCAAGTAAAAAATGTTGGATATTTATCGTGTCAATTATTGACATATTATTAATTGTAAGTGCATTTTGACATGGAGTTTAATTAGACGTATGTAAATCTGTGATTTTGATTGTGATATTTTATTTACATTTTTATGATCTTGAAGATATTTTGCAATACTTGTGTCTGCTATCAAAACAATAATGCATATGAAATGACCACAGCTTCCAAAAAATTATTTTTTCGGTCAATTTTATGACAGAATCCCCGCTGCTACCAGAAATGTACGTTTTATTGCATGGGCTAAGTATTTAATCTGTGTCGGCAGTCATAAACAAACGAACATGTACTCCAAAGCACATTAAAATTACCACATGGTAAACTAGTGACCATATAAATGCTTTACAAATATTCATTAACTGAAAAAACATTATTTTTAATCCCGTTTCCACACCTTAATTTGATACGTTCTATTATTAGTTAATTCGACTTAATTGCCGCGCGCATGCAGTACTGCGTGACGTAAGGAAAATATCCTTCCCTGGTTGGTCGCTATTTATGTAAATACTTTAAATAGTAACGCACAGAATGCCCTCATGAATGATCACTCGTTACTTTACATATTAAATGTGTGATTTTCCTCCGATTTTATTTTTGTTTTCGAGGGAATTTTTTAGGTGGAATGCCCTGGCTGATTTGGCGGAAATAAAAAAAAATCTGATTTTTTTAAGCTGAAAAAAACTTTTGAGTCGGGGCATTTTCGCTGGGTCGGCCGGCAATAGCAAACAGATAATTTTTTAAGAGTGGCCTAATATTTTTGTTATAAACGTCCACAAAACTATTCGTACACATACCAATATTTTTACAACTGAAATCGTCATTTATCACTGTCATCTTTACTTTTTCATTCCTTGTGGTTCTCAAAGTATTATTGCTGTTAAACTATATGGGAGCCATAAATATGATACTTACTAAAAAAAGGACATTTGTGCTGATTTCTCATGCCTTACAATCATGCAGAGATGTTCATAACAAACTTATGACTTATGGTAATAACTTATCATTGACAACCACACGGAAAGTTATCAAATCCCTAGGTTATACGGCATCTAGGCCGAGATACGGACAGATGGTGCGAGATGTAAATAAAGAGAAACAATTTACAGTAACAAACAATACATATAATACATTAAAGAAAGCACAATCATGTGGTGCGACTTTCACACGTCTAAAATACATCTTTGTTTGAACAGACAACGAAAAGCTTGTTTATTATTCCAGCGCTCTTGATGTATGCTTATTATATATAATAAGCACCAAACGCGTTAAAAACAAATTCCTCACCCATTAAAAAAATAATAATTAGGCTGCCTTTTACAAATTATAAACTTACATTATTATCCTCGGAATTAATTTCAATGAAAACTTAATATAATAAATACAAGAAAGCAAAGACAATTACGTTCAATTGTATGTATTTAAAACTACATGTTGTCTACAAATACTATTATTCTTATGAACAATAATATCTTAAGATAAGAATAAAATGAAATATTTTTAACTTGAAAATCGGTCGATGGAAGTTCTTAGAAAATAACTGTCATGACTGCTTGTTTGCCTTTTATACATGTATGTGCATGCATACTGTTCATAATAAAATAACAAAAAGTATAACGTCAAGTTAAACAAAATTCTGCAAAAAAAATCTATGAAAAAAAAAGAACAAACAAACAAACTACTAAAACAAAAATGAAAATAAACTTCAACAGTTGATACAAACTTCAAAAGATATACATTACGCTCACACCTGTAATTAGATAAATCAAGAATATCATTTAATGTATATTTTGGTGAAATAAACGCTTTTTTTTAATGTTCCAAATAAAATATAAAACTTTATGATCAACATGCAAAAAAACAGAAACAGTAAAACGCATCTGACAATTATTGAAAGAGACGTCCTGGAATATTGCCTGAATAAATTGTTGAGGGTTACGTTTTCAAAGTTTTTAAATAAGAAACAAAAGCTGGCATATAAATTGTTTAAGTATCTTTTTCATAAATGTCATATGCCGAATTTTTCATTATTTGACTTCAAGTTTCTCACTACCATGAAGTTGTGACGACAATGATTTATCTTGATGTCGAATACATATTATACATTACTTTACCAAACACAATAACAAGAAGAAGAACAAGAAATACACTGCATTTGTAAATGTACTTTTATTACAACAAAAAAGAAAACAAACAATTTTACATATACTGTAGTTATATGTACAGTACATGTTACAGTACGTACGTATACTGATGTTTAAATACAGTAATTAATTTTTAAAATTTAAGGTTTCCACCGCGTTGACCGGTGTTTGACCGCCGCGTTCCTCCGCAATTTACCGCTGCGTTACGAAGGGGAAACGGTTTCAGACGCCGATTTATGTCCGCGGTGGTGAAAATTTTCTGTCCGCGGGGTCACGCGGACAATATCTGAGCAAATTTTCGTCCGCGGTAAACCTCATCCGCGGGGTCACGCGGGTTTTGAAAAAGCCACGCTGAGCATACTGTACATGCTTTTCTGTGGTTTATAGAAATATAATAGTGATATAAAAACTGGTAATTTCACTGTTTGAAACTGTGAAATTACCACTTTTGATAATTTCACTGTTTTGAATTTAAGCCCC